GGGCGGGGGGGATATGCATGCGAATGCGGAGGACCAGAAGACAAACAGGTGGTTATGAGCTGCCCATCGTGAGAATCAAACTCAGGTCCTCTGTTCGAGGAGTTTCTCCAGGATCCTTTCTACTCATTGGTTGCTATGTGCTGAATGTGGTGGCTCATGCCCATAATCCCAGCATTCAGGAATGAGGCAGGAGGATCAAGGCCAGTCTTAGCTATATATGGAGATCATGGGCAACCCGGGCTACATGAGAAGGCTGTCTTAAAAAAAAACAACAAAACAAGGTTGCTATGTGGACTTTGTTTTTGGTTCCCCCCCTTAAGAAAGTGTATTTCATTCATTGTACTTTTCCCTCAGATTCTTCTCTCTTTTTGCTCCTTAGTTTGCAGAGTATCCGAGGCCTGGGGCTTAGTTCATTAGGCTGCATAGGCCTCCACTGAAGAGTGTTCCTGCATCATGTATTCAGTGCTGGCAGCATCACTAATTATTTCCATGTTTTCTCTTGACCTTTAAATGTCATTTCTAAGCTGGACGCCAGGAATTTTGAAGGGAATAATACCATCTCTTGGTGATAATACTGAATTTTTTTCCACCTTGTTTCCATTCCTATCTTTGCACTATAAATCTTACTGACTTTAAAACCTAATTTAGCAACTAATTTTTGGAAATTACTATGTGGTTATTTAATTGAATCATTATGGCTCTGTCTTAGTTGGGGACTTACTTTGTAACTCTCAAGTCCTTTCTGGAGCTAATACAGTACAATTAGGAAGGGGGTGCAGCTGTCCCGTTGTTGAAGTTGACTTAGCTGCCTTCCTCTTTAGGACTTACGTAGGCATGAATGATGTGCAGAAGCAGTAATTTTTAATAGACCCGCGAGACCGCCACAATCACTACCATAAGTGTGCCTGCCATTTCATAAGGCTCTCCATTCTTGGTTGAGTTTCTATGGTAAGAACGTTAGAACAGCCAGGCGTGCGTTTTAATTCCAGCACTCGGGAGGCAGAGCCAGGTGAATCTCTGTGAGTTCAAGGTCAGCCTCATCTACAGAATGAGTTCCAGGACAGGCTCCAAAGCTACACAGAGAAACTGTCTTGAAAAACCAAAAAAAAGAACAAAACAAAACAAAAGAATGTTAGAATGTTTGCCTTTCTTCCTTTTTAAACAGTTTTGCCTGTGCTGGCATTGAATTCATGATCCTCCTACCTCAGACTTCCAAGTGCCGAGATTATAGGTGTATAGCAACCATATCAGCTACCATCATTTTTTCTTTTTTACCAAGTCCCCTAGTCCAGTTCCCGATTATCCCAGCGGTCTCAGTCAGCTCCTGATGGCTAAAGAAACTCTCATGGGAAATAGCCCCAGCAGGAGTCTCCCAACGGAACTTCCATGACCCAAGCCCTGAACTTCCTCCCAGTAGTGTGGTTGGTGTCTTCCCTTAGTGCTGGAGGGCAGCACGAATTGAAGCAGCTCTACTTCAAGATTGGAACATAAGACCACGTTAAAATGGGGCAGTACTCTGGACACATGTTTCCAGTGTTGGGGAAGCCTAGAGACCACCCTGTGTGCTAGGCAAATGCTCTGCTGCTGCATGACCCCTAGCAAAATTAAGGTAGTGCTTTTGGTTTGGGTTTTTGAGATAATGTCTCACACTATTTGAGGCAGGGTCTTGCTGTGTAGCCCTGGCTAGCCTGGAACTATGTAGACCAGGCCGGCCTTGAACTTGGAGTGATCTTTGGTCTTCTGCCCATGGACATCATCCCCAGCTAGGTTGTTGTTGTTGTTTTTTAATATTTTTTAAGATTTATTTATTTATTATGTATACAGAAAAGGGTGCCAGATCTCATTACAGATGGTTGTGAGCCACCATGTGGGTGCTGGGAATTGAACTCAGGACCTCTGGAAGAGCAGTCGGTGCTTTTAACCTCTGAGCCATCTCTCTAGCCCATGTTGTTGTTGTTGTTTTAACAGCTATGTAAAGGCAGAAAAAATAAGCTTTGAGCTTGATGTACAGACCATTTAATCCAGTACTCAGGAGGTAGAGGAGCTTTTCAAGTTTAAAGCCCATCAGCTCTATCTATATATTGAGTGTCAAGCAGTGTCTTGGGGAAGAAAAAAAGCTTTGCCTATTGCCTGAAATCTCAGTTAATATAATAAATCATGTCAGAGTTTTATTCCCAGAATCCAGCAATTTCACCAAAGCCCTAAAGGTAAGCTCAGTTTGCATGAATCCTCCTAGGTATATCTGACCACAGGTAGACATTAAGGTCCTTCAAGTTCAGTACCTCTACTGAAGAGAATGAAATCTGAAGTAACCCAGAAGAAACTCACGGTGTTCCCCTCCCCTTCCGGCTGTGTCATGCTCTCTCATCTCAGTGTTGGGATGCCCTCTCAGTGTTGGGATG